TTTCTGCTTTAGTTGAAGCATATGGATGTGTGGATCTTTCTGAAATTGCTTGAATGTTAAAAGTGCTTTGATGAAGTTTTGAAGCAACATAATTGAAAAAAGAAGCATGTGTTTGTGCATAGTATTGGAACTTTATTAAACTATTCTTTGGTATATTGTTATGTTGTTGCTTACAACACCATGACTCAATATGGCTTCCTTAAGTGTCATGATGAAACTATTTGTTAGTGTGTTGTTCACTATGTCATGTTGGGTTAGAATTCCTGGGTTATGAATTATGTGACTTCAGGCGAGCTCTTCGGTAGTGGTGCTTTATGTCGGTAGCAGTTATTCTTTTTGTATGGCTTGATGTTTATCTTTCTTATTTTTCTTTCTTTCTTTTTCACTAGGTAAACTGGTATTAGAATAAATTTGGTCCAGCTTTATAATTATGTTTTTGAGAAGTTTCATTCCATGATGGTGTAGTTTCTGCAACCAATATGCAAGGTAATGTTAATTAATGTACTTTGGATATAGCTACCATTTTTGTCTGTATCTGATAATGGCATTTGAAACATTTAATGATGTTTGAGTGCATCCTTTGACAGTATTGAAGACTTAAAGCTCGGTTGACATAATATCATTTGCATGAAAGATTCTGTTTTAATTGGAGGTTACAGGAGACAGTGAAAGCATGAAGAAAAAAGCATTTAGTTCTTGATATGGTATAGAGTTAAATATTGCAGCTCTACAAGGAAGAAAAAGCCATATGATCATACACAGTAATGGTAGCAGACCCAAAAGAAGACAAAACATGGCAGTGCTTAACTTCTTAGGATAGAATGAGAGAGAAATGGTGCAAATAAATTAACTTCACGTAAGGTTTGCAATGTTTGATTAAGTAGAATACAAAATTGGGGAAGTTTTTGTCTGTCATATCATTTAAAGCAGAAGAGGGTTATTTACGAATATAGACGAAACTCTATAAGAGGTTGGTTTACCAAAAGATTGATTTCATTACCTCTGCGTCATCTAATTTTGTGGTATGTATTTTTTATCGTCAACTTTATCATAGGCTAAAAGTCTGATAAAACAATGTGAAGACTCTTAAAATGTTGAGTGAGCCTGCTTAAAACAGGGGCATGTAATTGTTGCTGAATTTTGATAAAGACGTAGGGAAGTGAATTTTAATGATATGACACGGGGAAGTGAGCTTCAATAGAGAGTTTAAAGGCATAGGGAAGTGAGCTAACATCAGTGTCGAACTTTTTTTATGGTTTGTATAAGAAATTTTGTCTGTCATATCCTTTGAAATTGATGAACTATTGATTAGTTTGGGGAAATGATTGAGATAAAAATTTGATTTTGATTGGTTCTCAGTTTTCTAATGCTATGGTTAAAATAATCTAAGATAAGAGTTTTAATTAAAATCTGCTTTATGTTTTTGGGTTGAAAGAGCGGTCAGCAAATACATAGTTGGGAGGGGTGATGTGATAAAGAAGTAAAAAGGTATGCTTACATGGTCCTGTCTATGGAAGCTCACCTATCTATGACAATTATTTTTAATATTGTTTTGACATGTCCATGACAATCAATTCCCTATAATTCTTTAATATTGAAGAGCTTTTGCTGGTCAAAAAAAGAAATATTAAAGAGCTTTTGATTTCTGGGTTAATTAGTGCTATAAATTGTTTTTAATATTGTACAATTTGATATTTGATGAATTCAAATCAACCTATGTGAATATTAAAGTCAAATTGTTTTGATTGTTTGACTTAAAATCCTTGTGGGTGGAAATCTGAAATCTTCAAGTGAAAGAACAGAGATTAGGATTTAATGTGGCCTTGTAAAAATTAATCCAGACTTAGAATGAATGAAGATTTTCTTCCTAATTCAAAACAAATAAAACTTGATCCACATTTTTAGTAATTTAGTAAAACTTATTTAAATTTTTTGATATATATGTATCATTTCTTCGATCATTATACATGATATTTACATTGACAATAAGAGATGGTGTTTTTTCTTTTAAGTTATTGACACTCTTTTTTTTTATTATTATTTTAAAAATATAAACCTCTGTGATTATTTTTGCAAGATTTAAAATTTGAATCATATTTTTTTATAGGGATAGAAATATCACCTTAAACACTGTTTTAAAATTTTAGTATTTTTAGTAGACCATAGTGAAGGAATAAATGAGGAATTTGTGATGGCGAAGGTTTACATTAATATATTAAAATCATTATAAATAATATACTTATTCATTCAAATGAAAATAACTAATGTTGTTTATCAGAAAATATTTAGAAATCTAGGTGCATAAATTTAGGGTTTAACCCAAAAACCTAAGAAGAAATTATCATGTTGATTGAAATGAATTCATGATATGTTTTTATTTTAACATTAATTTTTGGCTTAAAGCCAGTGAATTATTTTCTTAATTTTGATTAAAATAAAAGAACTTCATATTAACCATTTTTCTATGCATCGCGCGGGGAAGTACATGCTAGTTCTCATAAAAATATTATGCGTAAAATTTATTTTCAAATCAGTATAACAATATAAACACCAAACATACAATTTTGAGAAAATTACACACATCTCAAGGAGGAGAACTTATTCATCTGAGGTCCTAAAAGAAGTCAAAATTAATAGCAAGTCCCAAGGGACCTTAGAGTATTATATTGTGATTGTAAAATAACATTACTATCCCTCCTAATCTAAGGTTCCCAATTCATAGTTTTCTCTGCAAATGCAATTGGCAACATCAACGGCGAGTATTAACAATCCAATATAAAGCTATTGATAACCTAAGCAGTCTTTGCTGACAACTGACTTTATAGAATAATATAACCTCTACATAAGAACAAATTATATCCAGTCATTTACATGTACTTCCATTGTTCCATGATTTCTTCACACATGATTTTAGTGTTAAAGTTGTTATATGATATTATTTGGTTATAACTTGATATTACGTGGAGGTTATGTTATCCCACAGAGTTAGTAGTCAGTGACACTACCTAGGTTGTCACCAGCTTCCCCTTGGGTTGTTAACAATAGCCGTTAAGGTTGTTAAAGGATCTCTGCAATAAAATTCTACTATAATCCAATTTCGTATACTTAAAGAAGTTAATGTTTTGAAACAGCTTCTTGTTTTATTCTTAAAGTTGTTACATATGATAATAAAACTATTTAATCAGAGGTTGTGTTATCCTATAGAGTCAGTTGTTAGCGACACTACCTAGGTTGTCAATAACTACCTCTTGAGTTGTTAACACTCGCCGTTAAGGTTGTCAATCATATTGGTGAGGTACAGTTTGCGACAAGGAGAGACGTAAGATGGTGACGTATAGTTTGTGATAGGAATAGACACTGAGAGGCCCACGGCGACAGGGAGAGATGACAGATGGCGGACTGATTGCAAGAGGGAGAGACAACACAGTAGGGGAGCAATTGTACCATGAAGAGTGACACAAAGGGAGAGACAGCACCGGGGAGTAACTGCGAATAGAGAGACAAGGAGTACAAGAGGCACTGTGTGGCTGATTCCTTCACTTTAGAAGTCAGCGCGAGAGGCAAGGAGTAGTTCGAACACTGAGGCGAGAGGAAAAAAGTGTTTGAACTTTGAATTGGGAACCTTAGATTAAGAGGGATAGGGATGTCATTTTACAATTGTAATATAATACTCTAAGGTTCTTTGGAACCTACTATTAATTTTGACATTTTTTGGGACCTTAGGTGAATAAATTCTATTCCTTGGGACCTATGTGTAATTTTTCCTTAAATTTTGTGAAAAATTATGTGGATAAATTATAATTGGGATAATTAATCTCCGGATCTTTATGATTTCATTTGATTTTTAATTAGGTCCCTATGAAATTTTTTTTATCATATACTTTTATTTTTACTTGTTTTTACTTAGGTCCTGCTATTTTTTTCCTTTTTATCAGGTCCTTATAGTTTCACTTATTTTTTAATCAGGCCATTCGTAGTTTTAAAAAAATTATTTATTAGTTTTATTTTTTAAAATTAATTTCATTTTTAAATTAATAATTATATAATTGGACAAAATAATTCATATAATTATTTTATTTTTTTGTTGGAGACTTGTGAATAATTCTATAATATATATATATGACATATCTACCTAATTTTAATTTACATAAAAGATTCTCGAAATACAATTTTTAAACATTATCTACATTCCTAAAGTATCATAAAATGAAATATTATCAACCTAATAAAATAAAGTCATAATATTAATTATTTAATTTTAAAAAGTAAATATGATATAAATAGTTTAAATTACCTAAATATAAATCTTGTGAACAATTATCCGAATAAATTATAATTCATACATCTTTTAGTTTTGAGAAGAGGCGAAAAATTATTTTTGAAAAGATATTAACAAAAATATAGAAAAATAAATAATATTTATATCTTGATTTATCCTAATGACATGAAATCAAAAGGGAATAGGATTTTTTGCATTTGTTATTATGTTATTTTTTTATATGACATCATTATGTTATATTTTCGTTGAAGACTTGTAAATAATGTTATATGTATTATATTTGTGTATCAAAATATATATATGTGTGCGCGTATCAGATTTGAGCACTTGACATATCTACCTAATTTCAATTTACATAAAAGATTCTCCAAATACCATGAACAATAAAATCAAATTATAATATTAATTATTTAATTTGAAAAATTAAATATGATATAAATTTATAACTTTCCTCTGTATCGTCTATTGTTATATATTGATTAATTAATAGAAGATTAATGGTTTTAGGTTTTAATTTTTTTATGATTTTCCCACTGAATGTTATATGTGAAATATTGAATGTTAAATAAACCTAGTAATAAATTCTATAGATGAGCCGCGTAGTTTAAAATTTTAAAATCTAAAAAATCTGATTTCTGAAACATATATATTCGGCTTCAAATTGAGAAGGCTTGCATCCTCTCTAAGATTTTCGTAAAAAAAGAAAAATCATTGAATCACGATGGATTCAAATCCGGATGGAAAGCATGTGATCGTTCGCGAAGTTTGGGCTTCAAATTTAGTCAGCGAATTGTCTTTGATTCGAGCTTCTATGCCCACCAGCTGTTTAGCCTCATTTGATACTGAGTTTCCTGGAACAATTATCACGCCAAATGTGGATAAGCGCTCTAAATCGAAGCTGTCTCCTCCAACTAATTACAGTTTCATGAAGGCCAACGTTGATGAATTGAAAATCATCCAACTGGGTCTTACGCTCTCTGATTCTAATGGGAATTTGCCAACCTTTGGGACTCCAAACGGATACATTTGGCAGTTCAATTTCTCCGACTTTGATGCTGAGCATGATTCTCATAACGTTGAATCCATTCGGCTATTGGAGAAGCAAGGGATTGATTTCGTGAAGAACAAGAAAGAGGGGATTCCGTCGTGGCTTTTCCGGAATTTTGTTTTAAACTCCGGATTATTGTTCAATCCTCATCTCACATGGGTCACATTCCACAGTTCTTATGATTTTGGTTTTATGATCAAACTTCTAATTGGGAGACAATTACCTCCTAATGTTCACTTGTTCAGACAGATGGTGGCCCTGTTCTTTGGACCCAAAATTTATGACATGAAGCACATTATCAAGTTCTGCAATGGCTTATATGGTGGCTTAGAGAGGGTGGCTGGGACGTTGAACGTGGATCGTGTAGCTGGGAAGAACCACCAAGCTGGATCTGATAGTTTGCTAACTCTACAGACATTTATGAGGTTGAAGGAACTTTATTTCAATGGAAATCTTGGGCTTCAAAAATTTCAAGGGATTCTCTATGGTCTCGAAGTCAATCCTATTATACCAACTCTGAAACCTGGGAATTCACTACTGCACATTCCTGCCCCCACATTTTGTGGTCTCCGTCCAGTGGTGCTTATGTCTCCTTATTAATTTTTGTATCCTATATTTTAAAAAATAGGACTAATTCTTTTATTTTTGTTTCCTTTGTAATATACATTTTCCCACTGATGCTATATGAAAGGTTACTTTGCGTAAATCTCATGGATAGTTTTACTATATTAGTGATTAATGTATCTATTCCTTGAGTCTTACTATTTGTATTTGAAAGATGTACATATTCATTAGTAATAATAAGACTGTTATTTTTACGAGTGTTTGATGGACTTTATGTATCACTTTGATGATTTGGCTGGACTTTATGTAGGAAAGCTTTAACTATGTATACAATAGGCTATATAGGAAAGTTTTCTTGGATACTCGAATCTTGTGGGTGTCATATAGGATTTCCAGCAAAACTATATATATATTGAGTCAGTCCCTGTCCTTAACAGATGGCCACCCTTCCATTGTCTATGGGAAATCAGATTTATAAAAAGAAAAAAAGAAGAAAAAAGCATCAATATCTGCTAGTGGGTTGAATGACTTTGGTGATTTCTACAAGGATCTTCAAAATTCATTGCTGCTATATGTATTCATTGGTGGATTTGAATATGACAGAGAAGTTAATGAGAGAGATTAGTCTATTGACCGTGAGCTTTTTACTGTTTTCTTTGCTCTTGCTTAGATATACACCGTTGCAGATCAGTAATTTGAATTCTTTATTACGCTGGATGAAATAAACACTGTAATGGAACAAATTATATGCCTAATACCTCAACCGTCGAACATCAATTTATATGATGTAATTCCAATTAGCCTTTTCCGGTCAAAAAAAAAAAAAAAATTTCCATTAGCCTTTAGGGTACTCTTATTCCCTGCAAAATTTTGGATAATATATAATATATAATACAAAATAGGTCTTAAACCTAACTTATTTTGATAACAGGTCAAACCATAGCCCCCTAATAAAGGCCTAACGTAATTGATGGGATAATATTAAATGCCCCCACAACCGTATCGCTTTACACACACACACACAAACCACCCCATCTCATAGCCACCGGGGCAAGTGCCACTTTAGCTTTTTTATTATTATTTTTATAATATATTTATTATTATTTTTCATTTCTCTCATCCTTTTTGTTATTACTATTTTGTAATTTTTTTTCTTTTGATATTAATTTTACTTAATAGTTTTTGTATACTTATAAATCAAATTTTAAGTATATTATCTTTGCTTAATAATTATTTTCAAATTATTATAACAAGGTATAAATAGTTTAAATATACCTAACTTTAAATTTTGCGAAAAGTTATCTGAATAAATTATAATTTACATCTATTATATTTGAGAAGACCGAAAAAAATTAATTCTAAAAACTTATTGACAGAAATATGGAAAAATAAATAGTATTTACATCTCGACTTATCATAAAAGTTCTGACTTAAGTGTTAGGATTATAGTTTTGATAATAACAAAGTCAGATAATTTGGGTTAAGTATGTTGATCGATCAACTGATCGATCAATCGTTTATCGCTAAGGTTACAGATAATTGTTCAAGTGTAAATCAGGTTTATAATAGGTATTTTGATCGAAGAACTATTCGATAAGTAGTTAATCGATAAAATGATCGATTATCGCTAATGTGGAAATCACACAAGGTTATGGTTAATTATCGATCAACTGATCGATAATATCAGATAAACAATCGAGTTATTGATAAGAGAATCAAATCTGAAGTATATTTATCGATCACATGATCGATAAATCAGTTATCAATAACGACTTCGATAAGAGGTAACACAATCTACTTGTTCTGCACATTAATTCTATTACCAATTTATCGATCATATTTTCGATCATTTGTTTATCGATCACTTGTTCGATCATTATGCTCTAACTCTCTGAATGCAGGTAATCATCTTTACCGATGGATCGATAACCTTATTGATCATAAAATTATCAATCACATGATCGATAATCAATGTCTTTATCTACGCTTATTTAGTTTTCCTGTAACCAAATTATCGATAACATTATCGATAATTTAACTTGTTTGCATAAATATCTTTTCACATAACATGATCGATAAAGAGTCGAAGGATTGCTATATTCGCATTAAATTATGTTGAACTATTTTCGATCACCTAATCGATCATTGGCTTTTCGATAATTTGATCGATCATTCAATTCCCTGAAACTCATGTTTTCACAAAACTTGATCGATAATCAGTTTCTTTGCCTTCCAGGATTAAATTTATTTTCTCACTTTATTCGATCACTTGTTCGAATATTCATTGATCGATTACCTGCTCGATCATTTCAGATAGTCTGTGTCTTTCACTGAATATATTCATACTCATGGTTTATCGATAACATTATCCATTCTACATTTATCGATAAGTTGTTCAATCATCAATGACTGAAGTTTCATTTCAATAACATTTGAATTATCGATAATCTGTTCGATCAAATAAGTGTTCGATCACTTGTTCGATCATGGAACGATTTCCATTTACTATGATAATTCTTAAAGTCAATGATCCAACACTTGATCGATAATATTGTTGAACTAATTCGAAAAGTCTTCATTCTGTTTATCGATAACCTGATCTATCAACATGTAATCGATCACCTCTTCGATCAAACATATCCAGAATGTCTTTCTGCTCTTTTTACAGATAAATCGTTTCATCCAAAATCATTGAATGATGAATTGGTTTTCTCTTCTTGGTTCATGACTAAAGTCTACATCGCAAGACTCTTACTTGTTTAAAGCTTAAAATATGCAGATTACTGAGAAAGAATACAACGGCTCTTCAACGGGATTACGTAGACTGCAACCTACAGTGTCAGAAGCTCAGACGCATTAATGGCGGAACCGTTGAAACCAGCGAAACACGCAAACGGAGTCACAACGGCTAGAAGTTCTTCCGTCTAACGGCTACTTAACGATATCAACTATAAAAGGTATGAAGAAGCATTAATGAAGAGAGGGGAATACCGGAACTACCACCTGTGATTATTAAGTCTAGCATTCAATACTCTGTTTTCGGCGATACTACTGAGCATCAGTGTTCATCATTAAATTCACTCTGTAAGAGAGCCGATAACTACTCTTTATTAAATACTTGAGTGTTACTCAAGAGTGTGGACTCTTGAGAGGGCTTGTATCCTTACGGGAGTAAGGGGGAGTGATTGAGCGATTCAATTACTGTACCGAGGCACCAAGAGCCCTGTCGATCTTGGAAGATAGTGAAATACTCAGAGGTGTTCTGGGGACTGGAAGTAGGTCAAGTGGTTAAGACCGAACCAGTATAAATCTTGTGTCTTCCCTCTGTGGTGAAATTTCTCCTGACTCTGACTCTCTGTTTTTATTCAATTCTGTCACGCATTTAATTTAAAATTTTTGTAACTCACCCAATTCACCCCCCTCTTGGGTGAGATTGTTTCTAACATTTGGTATCAGAGCAGGTCTCTTCACTAAGGATTTAACAGTCTGAAGAGAGATCTAATGGCAGGATTCGGAGATAGCGTGCTACCGGAAGGATGTTCAACATCTAAACCGCCAGGCTTCAGTGGAGAAAATTATACCTTCTGGAAAATGAGGATGAAAATCTTCATCAAGGCCACAGAGTATGGTTTGTGGGACGTAATAGAACACGGCAACTATGTCCCAATGAACACAATAGATGGCCAGCAAGTACGCAAGAGTCCCAGGGAGTTCGATGAGGTAGACAAGAAGCTGGTGACCCTAAATGACAAAGCTATCAACATACTCACGTGTGCACTTAGCCAAAGGGAATACTTCAGAGTCTCAAGTCTGGAAACCGTGAAGGAAATGTGGGAGGCTCTGGAGATAGCTGATGAAGGAACCACCGGTGTAAAACAGAGCAGAATCAACACTCTCACCACTGAATTCGAATTATTCAGAATGAAGGAAGGAGAGAGTATCCGAGACATGGAAGTCAGATTCTCACATCTCATAAACCACCTCACTGCACTTGGGAAGAAATATAGTCAAGAAGATCAAGTGAGGAAAATACTGAGCGGTCTCACAAAAGAATGGGAACCGAAAGTAACAGCTATTGAAGAAACCAAAGGAGAATCCATTGGTTCTGTTGCAGCGCTGTTCGGGAGCCTCGCTGAATATGAGAGCAAGCAAAAATACAAAAAGGAGATGAATGAGAAGAACCGGAAAAGCCTCGCTCTTAAAACTCAAGAGAGTGAAGATGATAATGAAGATGATCTTGAGGATGATGAAATGGGCCTTATAGTCAGAAGGTTCAAGAAATTCTACAAAAACAGAACCGGAAAGAAGTTCCAGCCGAAACTCAGAATTTCTTCATATCCGAACGAACCAAAGGATCCAATCATTTGCTTCGAATGTAAGAAGCCAGGACATATCAAGGCGGAATGTCCCCAACTCTCCAGAACGAAGGACAAAGAAAAGAAGAAAGAAAGATTCAGAAAGAAGAAAGCCTTCGTCACCTCAATCTGGGGAGACAGCTCTTCGGATGAAGAAGAAGGAAGTGATGATGAAGAAACCGCTAACATCTGTCTAGTGGCCCAAGAAAACGAGGAATCAGAAACAGACGAGGTAATGATTTCTGAACCATCTTATGATGAATTACAGTCTGAATACAATGCATTACATTTAGAATTAGTAAGAATTGCAAAGGAGTTAGTAAGCTCTAAGAAAAGGATAAAGTTTTTAGAAGATCAACAATCAAAAGTTGAAGTCAATATAGATTCGACTTCGACTTGCAAAAGTTGCGAAAAGAACGAAAGAAAGATTAAAGATCTTACCAGAACCTTAGAAAAATTCACTAAAGGTAGCGAAATGCTTAAGGTGATCTTAGGAGCTCAACGGTGTTCTATGGACAAAACTGGTATAGGATATGATCCAACCCAGGATAAGTCAAAAGGAAAGAAAAAGAGTAGTGGTAGATCATATCTTACATATTTTAGAAATTCTGTGCACTCTTCAAATCCATTTGCACTTTGCTCTCACTGCAACCGTAAAGGCCATTCAACTTCTTCTTGTTA